GTCAGTTTACTGTCCCTGTAGGGGACGCGGACTGCTGTGCCAGAGTTGAGAGCGTCCACCACTTTGCTGAGCGTGAAGAGAGACAGGTTGATGGCGCCGCTCTCTTTCAGACGGATACCCTGGTTGCCGGTGCGGCGGTTATCCTCAGACCCAGCTAGGTCCACCAGGTACAGTTTCCCCGTCTGCTGTCGGTGAGGTAAAGACCTCTGAGTCCGAACCACCTGGAAGGAGAAGATCCAGATTTGAACAGCAACATTAAAAAAAAAAAAAAGGTCAGACAAGTTAAATAGGGTTGATTTTGCAGCAGAATTCTGGAACAGAGGAAACAAAATGCTTTTAAATTAAAGTTTGAGGAGCATCTTTCAAATGCCCCCAAGTCACTTCAAAGCAGCCTTTCCAGTTTTATTACAAAACAATTTAGAAATGTATCCAAATGTATGACATATTTTAAAGAAAAATGTCAAAATTCATAAGAAAAACATGCTTTATTAAACCTAAAGTCCGCTGCTATCATACCAATGAGGAAAAGATGAAAGAAAAAAAATCTTTTAGCAAATTAAGTTTTAAGAGCTACAAAAAAAAAAAAAAAAAAAAGAAAAAAGGACATAAAGAGTCTGTATCTCTCGAGTAGTAGTCCCAAAAAGCACAGTGGTTGCCAGTGGGACTGTTGCACAAGAGAATTGATTTTAGCACCAGCTACCAAATCCTGGTCTACTGCCCAGAGACCACGACCTGTTTAAGATGCTGTAGGATAATTTAGTAAATAAAAACAGCAAAAAAAAAGCTTTATGACCAGGGTCCGTTGTGGAGCAAATAATGTCAGACCTTGATGAGCAGAATAGCGTGACTGCGGCTGGATCGCTGGTTTAACTTGGTGGATGCTGTGGTGCGGTTCAGGGTTGCAGGAACAAATAGTTTCTCAAAATCAGAGAAAGAAGAGAGCGTCGTGTGGGTGAGACCAGGAATGAGGATGTTCTTGTCTTTGTCCTCTCGGATGGGCAAATCTGGGGAGTTTGGTGATAGAAGATCGAGAACCTGAGAGGATAGACAGTTATGATGGATTACATGGCGTTAAAACACTTTGCATTAAAAAACAGGTTGGAAATGTAAAAGAATGTAGATCTGAGGTTACAAATAAGAAAAAAATATATATAGTGCATTTATTCTTGCAAACAATTTATGGAGTTGCTTCAGTTTCTTTAGAAGAAGGGTTACCCATTGGGGGGGATGACATTTCTGCATCTGCTGTTGGTTTACATTCCACTCTTTTGAACAGATACATAACTTTATATAATTTCATTTTTTTTTTAAAGACAAAAGCACACCTCAGAAGGGAAATATACGATACAGTGGAATTCAAAGAAGAAAACAAAAAAAAAGAACTGAACTGCACATTAATACTTTTTCCTTCTTAAAAAGGTTTTCCATATTAAACATGTTAACCTAAAGGAAGGTTTCAGTGTGAATACTTTCACACATCATTTGCATGAGAGTCTGCTAATAAACAATCAGAACCTTTAAGCAGCTCTGCTTTCCTTGTGCTTGTACTGCCACCATCTTTGCTTTGTGTTACAAGAATCACCAATCTAGTCTCACCCTTTAGGCTCAGTCCTACAAGACTGCTTGAAAAACTGATATTTAGCATTAAAATTAAGAAAACCAGAAGATATGAGGAAAACAAATCTGCAAAAGCTCAATTAAATTGCAGTACAGTTTAATTTAGCCACTTCTATATTTAAAATGACCAAATATGATGAAGTCCTACAACTTCCATTAATTGTGGATAATATACCGTAATATGATAAGGGCAGCACAAGCTGCTAGTGCAAAAACAAGTAATTTCACCTTTAAGGGTCTGTTTTATGTTTGGATCCAAATGGAAATACTAACTAGTCTTCAAACATCACAAAAAAAAAATACAAACAAACCAGACGGCAGAAAAAAACATCAGTATTCTTCACAAGCAGAGTCTAATTTAAAAGGTAAAGTGGAGGATCTTCTTTTTCCAGGTGGATCACCAAAATAAGTGATGTTTACATAAGGCTGTCCTATGTGCTCATCCCCATTTTAACTTACCTGTGGCGAGTCTGACATAGTGAAAAAAAAAACTACAAATCTTTTGGAAAGTAAACAGCAATGTTTAAACAGAGCGTGCACGAGGGGAAATGGGCTTGTGCACGCTCCCGCACATGTTTGATAGGCGTTCCCTCTCGGGAAACATGTACAGGGTTGTACATGTGCATTTTCTGTTTTTGTAGAGGGTGAGTCTTCTCAAAAACTTGCAAAAATCCAAATCTAATAACCAATTAAATAACTTTGCTTTCATACCGTAAAAATTCCACTGGACTTGGTTTTCAAGATTTGAGGACGTCTTCAAATCTTGAAAACCAAGTCCAGTGGAATTTTTACGGAATGACTATGACCTCGATGACTGAGAACTTTCATCAGCATATTTGCTTTCATACCGAAAAACAACAGTAATTTAGGTTTTCCATAAACAAGAATACATTAGCCTCAAATAGCTTAGCATGAAACATGTGTACTAAGGATATTTTCTCTTATCTAAACTGCTTTGTCAACATAAGACAATCTTAACAACAGTCAATGCAAGCGATGCATGTTTATTTAGCTTTTTAAAGCATACCTTTTCATTGTAAATTTCCATATAAGACATGCCAACGCTGTAGTTCCATCCGTCATCTTGGGCTTTGTCTTTGGCCCTGACCAGGTTAAAAACCTCTCGCACAGCTCGGGGGATCACACCTGGCTGCTCCCCAGTTCCCAACATAGTGTGGGTCTTACCTAGTGAAGAACTTAAAGTAAGGAAAAACCAACTGGGAACAAAAAAACACTCAGCAAGGCAAATCTATAGAAATCTTGGAGCCTTTTGGCTAAACTCACATATCGATTTATATTGTTCAAACATCAACCATAATAAACTGTTAGATTCAACATACCAGCCCCTGTCGGCCCATAAGCGAACACGCTGGCATTTTGTCCGTTTAAAATGTGCGGCAGAATGGGCTTCACCGAAGTGAGGAAAACCTCTTGCTGTGTGGTTTGCTCCCCATGAAAGACATCAAAACTAAAGATAGAAACATACCAGATTAGTACTCATTTGTCATATTAATATAATCAAAAAAAATATGCCCAACCACCCACTTAATTTTTCTTTTCTTTAAAACAGTCAGGTTATTTCTGATATTAAATGTGTCTGCATTGATTATTAAAAATCTCAGATGCATACTAGGGGTAGGCATTTATTGTTTATCATTATTGTGATAAATTTGTTGCCAAGATAGAATTTTGACTTCTTGTAAACTGAACATCATTGATCTCTCAATGGTGAAATTCACTCTCTGAATCTTAACCCATCCCCTTGGGGAGCAGTGGGCTGCCATTGTGCATTAAGGTTCTTGCTCAGGAACCCAGAGTGTAGGCTGTGGGGATCGAACTGGATACTAGCAACCTTCTCAGACCACTAATCCACCACACCCCTAAAAATGATTGAAATTATATATTAGAATAAGTGATTACAAAAAAATTAATTGTCAAATAAACCCTTCCCCTCTGTCTTTTTCCTTTTTTGTTTGTCTGCTGGGGGAAGAATAGGATTAAATGTGATAAAGTTATATGCTTAGTGCTATAAATCACATTTTTAATGTCATTGAGGTCCCAAAGAAGTTCTCAAATCTGTATAGTTGTAAGTAGTAGTATTTGAGGAGTTATAATTGCTTTGGCAGACGGCACAGCCATGGTTACCTGAGAAAGACTAAAGACATTGTTACTTTTTAAATCCTCCTGCTTACCATAATAAGCATAGTAACACAAAAATAATATATATATATATATATATATATATATATATATATATATATTACAGTTATGACGGCCTTAAATTCTTATTTTTTGTGATTTTACTTTTTCTTTTTGAGATAATCAATTTACAAAGGTGCTATAAAAAGCTGCGTAAACTGATACAGACAACGCCAAGGGTTGTAATCATTACAAGCATACAACTAAACACTTAACATAATAAACAGTCAGTGGTTCTCAAATAAAACAGTTGTGCGCATATAAACACTTACTGGTACTTTACGGTCTCCATTGCGTTCCTCCAGTTGATTATCTCCAGGTTCTGGGAGTCCAGGCCTCGGACACACGGCTGCTCGCTTGGGTCATCCTGTCCGCACATGTAGGGACGGAGACGGACCGCTACACGAACCCTGGAGGTCTTCTTGCTCCCCCCGTCTGATCCAGCCACGCGTTGCGCCATCTTTGAAGCTTCCCCAAAACAAAGGCCTGCGTGACATCAAGAGATCGGCGGATTATATATGTTTCCTTCGTGTTGCAAGTTAAAAACAACATACGTGTACGTCAATACTTCGTTTGGAACCGAACGTCAATCGTCTAAAAACGTTACTAATATGATAGGCTAATAACAGGAAGATGGTTCGACGTTAGCTTGAAAGCTAAATTTAACTTAGGCTGTAGTTTATCTGCCTGTTTTCGGTTAAATAAAGCAGAATGATGCGAAGGTTTTTCTGATGCTCACCGATATTACTGCATTGGCTCTAAGTCTTAATCGTGCGCTATTGTCCAAACTCCAGTTTGAACAATAATCACAAGACCCTTTATCAACTGTGACCGTCGTTGTCTCGCCCTCTTCCCGAACGCCTTTTCAAACTATGAGACCGGAAGTGTCCAACTACCAATCAGAATTCACAAACGCTTCCGCTTTATTCCGGCTTTATTAAATTGAACTGATCGAAAAATATGCATTTTCTAAGTGATAAAAAATTAACTAATTATACACATATTTTTAGAATAAACATAACAAGTAAAATAAGTAGATTTTTATTTGCCCGCGCCATTTTTGCTTACGACAGAGGAAGTGACGTCCAACCCAGATCTCCATCGAAATGCCTTTAAGATTTCACAACCGGTTTATTGAATGAGCGGACCATCCATATGTTTGTTCTATCAGTGGAGTTACTGCGTCCAACGGAACGACGAAACTCGTCACAGACGGTGACCTCCAGCCAAAATGGCGCTATGTTTACGTCTCTTTTTAATCCTTTATTGCACTTAAAAAAAGGGATTCATGGCGAGATGCGATAACTGTATCGCTTGGAAAACGGCGACCCGTTTAAGCACAATTTAACATATCCATGAAATAACCCGTGATACAATTTAAAGGTATGGATCTTCTTTAATTGTGTATATCTAAAAAAAGAGCTTGTAGCCACAGGCTACACTGTAGCTAGCATTTGATGTGCAGGATTAGTCAATTTTGTGCTGAATGATAAAACAAGATAATCCGCAAAAGCTGCACAAGCATTTGGAAGTAAACGTGAAGTCTCACAGTGTTGCTGTTATTTTCTACTTTAATTGCACTAATCAATTATTCTTACAGCAGATCTTTGAACTTCCCGCTGCAGCTGTTAAGATGCAGGCTGAAGCTACAGACTCTGCCCTTAGAGAGGGCATTGAGGCCATGGGCATGAAGGACTCTGAGAAACCAGCTGCAGGCAAAGAGGAGGAGAGCAAAGTGGAACAACAGGACACAGAGATGACAGCTGCAGCAGAGGAGGAAGACTCTGCAGCTAAGGATGAAGAACAAGGTAACTCATTTAAAACCAGCAAACAGCACCTGCTAATCTATTGACTTGCAAAATGATTAATTTTAATCCATCATTCTCCAAAAATATTTGGGTTTCTTATGTGATACCCCCCCTCAAAATGTAAATAAATAAACCATAGATCCTGAAACTCTGACATGCAATTATATATAAATCCCATCTGTTCATTGTAACAGATGTTCCCTACTTAAATGCTGCATAACTGGTTTAAATAAATCTTATGCAAGATTTATTGATATGAGGAAGTGATGGCATCTTTTGATTCAGGAGACATTTAAAACATGCAGGGAGGAGAGTCTGCAGGATCTTGGACTTTAAACCCATGTTGAGGATTTTGTAGCCTTTATACAATGACTCCCTGATATTATTTATCCTCCTCCTATCAATTTTTAAATGGTTGACCACATCTTGCAGGGTTTCCGCGGGTCATTAAAAATCATTAAATTATAATTTTTTTTAAATTAAGGCCTTAATTGGCATTAAAATTCATTATGTTTGATAATGGTGGCATTAAACTGGCTTCGGAAAAGAAGCTTGAGGTGGAGAAAAGGCTAGAGAATGGGAAAAATGCAAATTTGAACCAAAGTGGCGGGAAAACGAGGAACTCGGGACATGGCTGCAGCCTGTCCACTGTGAAGCTGACGAAGGATTTTGCCGTGTATATATATATATATATATATATATATATATATATATATATATATATTTTTTTTTTTTTTTTTTAAGTCATGGGTACTTGTTGACGGCATTAAGATTATTTCTAAAAGGATTAAAAGAGCATTAAATAAGAGTTACTCATTCATGTATAAACCCTGTCTTGGTAGTTGGTCCATCTTGTTTAGGAGCCTAATAAACTTCTCCACAACTTGCTGTCTGCTGTCCCCCTTGGTCGTCGTGATCCTGATCGTTCTCAGATGTCTCTCAGAACAGCTGGTTGCACTGGATCTATGAGTATCAAGAGTTAAAGGGGATGAATATAAATATTGGATTTCAGATTGTTTTGTTAGAATAATATTAAGAAAACCTGAAATATTTTTTTAATTTGTGTCTGGGGATCACATAAAATGAAATCAAAGTTGATAATTAGTCAGATGATTAACAGCCTATTTTAATGTGAGTCAACTACTGATTTATGCAATGGCTGGATATGGAGAGTGTTGGCCTACTGGTTGGAGCAGCGCGCTTGTGCGTTAAGAAGGTTGCAAGCAGCCAACTGCTCCCCAAGGGGATGGGTTAAAATACAGAGAGTGATTGTACCCATTGGGGGACAATAAAGGGATTTACATTACAAATAAAAAAGAGACATGTGTGTAAAAGCTAAAACTCCTATTTTTATTTTTATCTTTTGCTAAGATGAAAACACAGATGCATCCAAAGGAGAGACGCAGAATGGCGAAAGTCAAGCAGAACCCGGAGGGGACGCTGAAGAGGGGAAACAGGCTGCGGTGGCAGACGACGATTGGGAGCTTCCGTACAGCGACGAGGAAATTGAGGACCCCAAAAACTGGATGCCTGCTCCGGCTGAGATCAAAAGACTCTACGAGGTCCTTGCAAAAGGGGAAATGCTGGAGCTGAACTTTGTGCCCCTCTCCAGAAGGCCACCAACGCCAGAACGCACCCCTTCGCCTGAGAGGGACGAGGAGGAAGAAGCAGCAAAGGAAAGGGAGAGGCTGGAGAGGGAGCGCAAGTTAGTACAGCTTTTAATCCACTTCTCAAAAGAGAGTATTTTGTTTTAATTTAGGAAGTCACTTTACATTAGGGGTGTGCAAAATAATCGTGATGATGATGCATCGTGATTCTAATTTTCGTGATCTACTGCATCGATTCTTGATGCCAAGAATCGATTATTAATTTTAAAAAATGAATAAATAAAATTGCATGAATGGTTGGCGAACATCAGCCAAAAACTAGTGCAATACCACTTCCAGTCCAGTAGATGTCGCTGCAAATGTGTTGAAGCACGCTGCCTTGTGTCACAAGTATTTCCGGCCGTGGGATACTGTGCCGAGTCATTCAAAAACAAAACATGGAGGAGAAAATATTGCAATGCATCGCAATAATTCAAGTATCGCGATGCATCGTGATAGAATTGCATCGTGGCCTGTGAATCGTGATTCGAATCGAATCGTGACTTCTTTGGCAATACCCACCCCTACTTTACATACGCTACACAACAGGAAGGCAGAATCTGATACCCAGGTACAGGTACTGAACCCTGGGTCACGTGCATTCCGGTTACATGAGTGCAGATATTTCGCCTGCTTCATATAAACAGCTTTATTTGATTTTTCTTAGGCCTCCAACTCCGACAGAGTTTGACTTCGATGAGGAGCAAATGCAAAGCACCCCGAAAAACGCCTTCCTCAACAGACGCAGAACACCAGGTGAGATGGCACCGACTAGTGCTTCAGCAAAATGGAACAGAAAACCGAGTCGATTGATAAAACCAGCATTTTTCTCCTCTCTTAGGGTCTTCCGCCCGCTCCTCCGTGAAGCGAGAAGCCCGCCTGGACAAAGTGCTGTCGGACATGAAGCGCCACCGGAAAATCGAGGAGCACATCCTGCGTACGGGGCGGGACCTCTTCAGGAGCGAGAAGAAACTGGAAGAGGCCCTTTCCCCGAACAGCCAGAAGGAGCGTGAGAAGGAGAGGGAAAGGGACAGCAACCCCAATACCATCTTCTCTCCGAAGCAAAGGAGATACTGAAATATTCCCTAATGAGGACATGTTCACAGAGAGAGGAGAGCTGTCCTCAGAAAACCCAGACATTTCTAATGTGAAACGTTTTGTATGCTTTTGTTTTGTATGACGAGAATAAACATTTTAAAGTAACATTTTTCTGGGTTACTACAAACAGACTTTCAATTAAAATTGTTTTTTCACGTAATGAAATGCTGTATTTTATCATTTTGGATTTCAAGAGGATCTTTGGGTAGAAAACTCACTCAAGAGTAGCACTACTTCATATTTTTATCCCCAAGTACTGAGTAACAGATGTTTTAAATACTACAGCTACTAAGCAAATGATTAGTTTAAACTTAGGAAGCTTGTTATACGTTTGAAAAACTCCCACTTTTATACAAATGTGAATCTGATTCCTTTTTGGTTAAAATAATCTTGTTCCTCATTTAGTGAAGTTACTCTATATTTAATTAAGAGTAGTGAAAATACTCATATTAGTCAAGTATGAATGTTTCTACTTTGGAACTGGCTCCTACCTACCTCTGCCAGGACCCCTACAGGTTTATGGGTAGGAATAAGAGCAACTAACATCTCTGCAGATCCCCCGTTAGACATCCTGAACGCAAACTTTTCAGACCTTTACCATCAGCTAAGTGCTACACATTGTTGGGGCTCCATACCAGATGTAACTGGTCATGGATGTTGAAAAAGATGTGGGTTTGGGATCATCAAGTTGGGGTTTTTTTTCTGCTAAATCTGAAAAGTAGAGAATACAGAAAATGATTAGGAACACTGAAAAAAAAAAAGATTTTAAAAACTTTACTTTTTTTTTTATTATAGTTCATTCTGACTTTAATCTTAGAATTCTGAGAAAAAAAGTGTGAATTGAGTAGTGTCAAAATTCTACCAAAAAAAAAGTCTAATTCTGAGAATTAAAGTCAGAATTTGGAGAATAAAGTTAGAATTAATGGATTAAAGTCCAAATTCTGAAACTTTTTCCTATATTAAACTAAGCTAAAATAAAAAATCTGTTAACATAAAAAACCTTACCTTACCCCCGCGGTTCTCAAAGTGTGTGGCGCGACCCACTGGTGGGGAATTGAGACGTGACAGGTGGGGCGCGCCAAGTTCCGGTGTGTGTGTGTGTGTGACTATAAATGTAGAACGTGTGAGAGCAAACTGTCCTTATAGCTGTATGTTGCCGCTTTTTAGACCAATCAAACCCACAAAGTAATCATTACTAGTCTACATGCAGTCTAATTAAAAGAACATTAGATATGAGAAAAATTTCACCTGGAACTGAAGTGCCAAAATAATGATTGACGTGACGTCGGCATATTATTTGTAACGGAATAAACTTTCGCGCCCCAGTGTTGCCAACTCAGCGACTTTGTCGCTATATTTCAGACCCCTCCAGCGACTCTTTATCAAAAAAGCGACTAGCGACAAATCGAGGGACTTTTGGAGACTCTTACGTGAAAGCACGTATCGTTCCTTTTCTTGTCCTCCAGCGGCAGGTGCTGCCGTGGGGCGCCTCCTCTGTCCCCACCCCGTTCTCCCCCGCTATCACAGAAGTCCCTCTCAGCGCTGCAGTCAGAGACACAGCATGCAGACTGCAAATAAAGCGCACATGCGCCGGGATTGACGGCGCAGGTTGATCATAAATAACTGAATTTGAAATATTTTATCTTATCCAATTTTTATCTTATTGGAGCCACCACAGTGATCCCATGTATTAAGCAGCACCTCTCTTCCCTGAGTGGATTGTTTCAAAAATAATTCCCAAACAACAGTGCTCAGTATGCCTGGGTTATTATGGATCCATTCAATGCAGCAGGTTGGTATTTTGACATTTTATTGAATATTATACTCATATATTATACATTAATTTATTTCTGTTGTATGCTACTAGCTGGAATGGATTGTTGTCAAACTGATTTCTTTGTGTTTATTATGCATTGAAAAATAAAGTAAGTCTATTTTTTTCTATTCTGTCTGCAGCACCTGCTGATTTTAGGTCTGCTGAGGAGGACCAGTTTATTGACATGATGTCTGACTCCACCCTGAGGCTCAGGTTTAATGCTCAGACTCATAGTGAATTCTGGTTTGGAGTGGAGAGGGAGTATCCACTCATCGGGCAGAGAGCTGTGTGCATTCTTCTTCCCTTTGCCACATCATATCTCTGTGAGATGGGCTTTTCAGCTGTTGCTTCACTGAAAACAAAATACAGATCTCAGCTGAACATTGAGCATGACCTGAGAGTGGTAGTATCAAGCCTGCAACTCCGTTTTGAGAAACTGTGCAATGCGAAACAGGCTAATTGCAGCCACTAATGCAGGGATAAATAGACCTGTCTTGCCAGATGGATTTCACTTCTTTTCTTTTTTTAACAGATTGCAGAGTGGCACTTTAATTTTTTCTATCTTTGAGCTTAATACAAATTTTGACACAGCTGCATTTTTGTTTTCTTTATTTTTGAGCTTGCTGTTATTTGATGTAGATAGTTTGTATTTAGATACTACTTGTTACTTCAATAAAATTGGAACATTTTAAGATTGTTGCATATTTCATAAGCATTGTGTTGGGGCGATGGGGACAGGCGGGGCTTGAAAATCCCCCCTTGTCCAAAGTGGGGAATGACAGAAAAAGTTTGAGAACCACTGCCTTACCCTCTTACGAAGAAAAGAGAAGCAATTTAATCCAACAAAATTTCTCTCTGGTTAAATAAGCTGTACATCAAAGTTAATCCATGATTTAAGATCGTTTGGGTTCTTTCACATAGATTCAGGTTTGTTTGGATAGACCACCTTTTTTCAGATAATCTCGGTATCAACGTTGATGATCTAAAACAATATAGTGATACTAATAAATAAAAGTTCAAACTAAAAGTTAATTTGTGAGGGCGCTAAAGTTATATATACAGTATGTTAAATTACTCAAACTTTAGCTCCCCCTACTAGTTGAGCCAATTTCACACTGATGAACATTTCAGTACCTTAGTAGAGATTAATTATTCTAAGGAACACCAAAACTGCAAAAAAACAAAAAGGAAAGAAGAAACCACTCAAGACAGAATCAGGACAGCGAAGTATATTTAGCTAGTCTGAGTAACAATACAGCCTTCACCTAAGGCTTAGAAGCATAGAGTATATGTATGCATAAATATGCATTCAAATCCACAAACCAAATAAATAAATAAATAATTACTTACAAATAAATAACAAGCATTTGTGGAATATACAGTACAGCAGTTGAAATGTTCCAGTATTGTCAAGAAGCAGTACCTCATGGATCCACAGAACGAGGGAATGGATATTCAGTGTTCGACATGCCTACACGTGTCCAAATGCTTGGGCACACGCTATCCTGTCCTTATGGTCTCTGATTTAGTTTTTCAATTTTCCTTTTTTAATTATTATTTATTTAGACCTACATCACAGGAAACTGCAGTTGCATTAAAGCAACATCTATTAGAACAAGCCAGTTTGTTCATAGGTGGTTCATGGAACCAGTGGCTCACTGATTGGGGCTTTTTCCCCCGCTAAATCTAAAACTTAAAATAAATTTAAAAAAACAGCTAAAACAGAAATAAGGACAAAATGTGCAGCAAGTCAGTCATGAGGGAGTGCTTCCTGTAAGGCAACTCTCCGCTCATTTCCCTTCAAACAAACCATGTAAAGCCTCCTGACAAAAATAAAAACTGAAACATTGTGAATCCATTTGTGAAATAGTCCTGCAAAGCAAACGGATAATTTAAGATCCACATCAGCACCAGACATTTTAAACAAAAGAGAAGGTGGGGGTGTGTATTTAGAGAAGGTGATACCAGTGAACGGAATGACATTAAAACTACACTGAAACAAGAAGCACAGCTAAAACCTTTCTAGGGAAGTTTGTGTAGATTAAGCTGTAAACCCAACTGCTTGATGGTTATTGATAGAGAAAACTGTATAATAACTGATGCAAACATGTCAATGGGCCTGTTATGGGTCAAATGGAATAAAGATTAATACTCAGATTGTGATAAATTGAGGCTAAAGATAAAAAAACCACGAAAGAAGGACTTAAATTTGGGGCCCAACTCCAACTAAACTACTCCACTTTTATTATTCTAACATTTCCTGAATTGTTGAACTAGTATAATTTACATAATGATAATCATTTTATGACTCATATTTTCTATTTCATAGTAATTTTTTTTTTCTGAGCAGAACTCCTATTCCATTTTCCCATCACAGCAGACCCAATTAGTCAAAATAAAACCAAACAATACTGACATGGAAAAGACAATTTTACATCTGCTATGTACAACCGTCACATTTTGCTGTCTGACGAAAGCCTTTTGTTCCATCTCACATTCTAAACTAAAAAATGCAAAGTAACCTAGAAGAGTTGGGAAAGGGGGTAAGGCAGCAGAATACAGTATAATGACAGTATCTCCCTCCTAAAGATGAGTCAGTCTGCAGGTCGGTTACATTTTGTTAGAGTGACAGTGTCTACATAGAGGATACAGATAAACACTAACAAGTCAAAATACTGCTTAGCTGAGTTATTTTTATTTTTTTACCTTTTTTTTTTTTTTTCTCTGAAGGTCTTCTTCATTACTAAACTGAATCAGGCCTTTCATCTACAGCAAACATACTAACATACAATATAATACATTCCTATTTTCCTCCTCTTCCTGTAATACGAGGCAGCGAGGACTGTGTTTGATCTACATGAGGGGAATTGGCCACCTACGCTTGCTAAAGTTCCTCTCTGGTCAGTGCAGGTTCCTGTCAGTCACAGTGCCTGATGACATCTTAAATACTGAGTGCCCTAAAGCTCCATTTGGTTCCTACAAACAACCAAGCTGAAGTACTTGAAGGTTCGGCCATGAATCCCTTTACTTGTCTGCTGGCTCCAAACACTTCAGCGTGATTTGAGGTCATGATCTCAACTTGTAAGTCTTACTCTTTGCCTTCGTTCCCGTTACATACTCATTGGTACATTCGCCTTCCTTCCCTCTTCTCCCCCCCTTCCCTCCCCCCAGCGTGGCCCCTCTCAGTGAGTGGTCAGCTCGGGCTCTGTGGAGCGCGTGCTGTAGCCGTTAGCGGGCTGCGGCAGAGCGTTGCCGTCCGTCGGGTGCTCCTTGGTATCGGCTGTGGGCGGGCG